TTTGCCATCTCCATGACTGAGTGTTCACATATATATATATATATATATACCCTCATATTAGGTTAAACTTTTAAGTGATAAGTTACAATGTGTTGCTTGGTCAATAAAGTGGGATTACATAATAAAGTTATACTGTATCATTAACTCCTGTCTAACCAAGAAATGGGACAACCATACTATTTGATGTAATGGAATAGCCTAGTCACCCCCATGAATGATTACACTATTGGTAGTAAGTACCTATAAAGTCAACTGTCTACGAGAGACTGCAGGAAGTGTGAGACGACACAAGCACGTCCGACCTTCCAATTAGTGGCACTCACTACTAGATTGACTTGTGTGTATAACTGTACCGTATTTCATATTATTCTGGTTGTGTACAATAAACCTTTCTTCTATTATCGACCTGGTGTTATGTATTTATTCCCTTAGCACAGAATATAACACTAGCAAATTTACCAACTATTATATAATATCGGAATTCATAGAAAAAAACCCCTAAAAAACAAAGTTCTAAACTTTTTTAAAATTCAAAGAAATCTCTTACCTTGATGTTGTTAAGTGTGATATTATTTAAAAAAAAAGTTAATCTTTATCCGATTCAATATCGGTCAGAAAGTAGTTAGCCTGAGAGTAATCTGAATGGCACATTAAATTGATGCAGAGATTTTTTTTTTTTAACAGGATTAAAATGAACTTTATAATTCTCCAGATATTCAGTGTATCACAAGAAAAGAGGAAAAAAAACTAGTCTTTTCATTATTTTATTTTCTGAAGAGGCACACATTTGCTTTAAAAATTTATCATTGGAATATGATTATAGATAATAGCCTCATTTTATCAGTAAAATTTGTAATAATTCTTGACCACTAACAAACACTTTCTTTTGTGTTTGAATTTATATTCTGGCTCTGTTGCACTTAGTAACCTTTGCATAATTTTGAACCAAAATGCTTTATTCAATTCACAGGAGTAGGTTGTTCTTATTTTGTTTTCCATGGATAATTTGTATCAATTCACTTTTAACTATTTGCCTCTCTGTCAGTTGACCATCTTTTCTACTTGACCAAAGCATATGACATTTCTACACTCAAGAATTGTACTCACAAACATCATGAAGTGTAACCAACTATTCTAATCCACTAGGCCATGTTTCTCTCAAACAATCCAGTGATATAATCTTGGAGACTTAAATCTAATACCTGGACTCAGGTGGTAGAATTTTTGAGTGACCTTTCTTAATCAGAAGTTTCCAGGTGGGGTTTGTCTCTATTCTAGATCTATTCAGAAGTGACCTTTCTTAATCAGAAGTTTCCAGGTGGGGTTTGTCTCTATTCAAGATCTATTCAGAAGTGACCTTTCTTAATCAGAAGTTTCCAGATGGGGTTTGTCTCTATTCTAGATCTATTGAGGTGTTTGACATGTACACTGATTCTTTCCATTGTCTTCATACGTTTCTTGATTTTTCAATGTATTTACATTTTATACATAGAAGAGTCCAAGTTTATCATGAAGATTGATTCGTAATTATCAGAAAAATTTAATTTTAATCATTTTCTATTTAAACAGAATTGTGAAATTGGAGGATTGGACAGCAATAATAAACACTAATATTTTGCCAATTTATATTTGGGTTTAAAAAACTGACAGAATTTACTGTATCTTTCTATTTATAGAATCATTAGAGCAAATTAAAGTTTTGCCAAATCTGCTTGAAAAATCTTACCTATAATATAATTAAGTAAGCAATCAGTTATAATCTTACTTTTGATTAAGATTGTGTTCCAAGTTAAGTGAGTCTGCTTGCTTTGAAAATTAACATTTTTATTTAATTTGTATTATTATTACTTGGATTTATATACCAATCTCTGGCACTGATGAAGAATTTCTCATTCTTGAAATAAAAAAAGATGGTTATTCTACCTTTTTTCAATACTGTTGTAGTCTGAATGGTTTTCAGTTCTTTGTTTTATATGCACAAAGCTGTAATGCAAGAAAATGTAAGATAGTAATTATGAAAAGTTGATTGCTTTAACATATCAACATTAATTCAGTTGTTGAGGAAAAAAGAAAACAAAAACCCCAAACAGCAGTCATTGTGGTAGGAATTGAACCCCTAACCACTTAAAGTTCAGCAATTTCCAAATGTTTGTTTCTTTATACATCAGTGACTGTTTGCTACCTAGGGGACTTTTGTGAGAGAGTGTCAGAGAGGCAAAATGAGAAACATGTCATTTTTAAAGTTGCTAATTTTCTATCAGATCATTTTTGTAACATAGAGAAATAAAAAAAAAAAAAAAAGAGTTTCTTCTGTCATTTTCTTGGGTTTCCATCTGTTGACTTTAAAGATGTTAAGTTGTTGCTTCCATTGGTATTTACAGATGTTGTATATATATAGATGCGTGAAAAAATTGTATTGTTGGACGATTCTTTCAGGTGGCGTATTGGCTGCAAGTCTTGAAAATAAACATTCAAATAATGACTTTAATAGGATCTCAAATACAATTGACTATATGCAACTATTTAGACACCAAACGAATATTCAACAATAAATATCATTTTTTTTTCTCTTGCTTCAATATCATAATTGGATTTGTAGATGGTCAATACATAAATGCTACCATTAAAAAAAAACAAAAAAAACAGACAATTCAAATAATGGAGGAAATTATTTAATTTAACAGGAATAAAGTTTTGATATACAATAAACAAGGAAAAAAATTACAGAATATATTTTCTTTTCTATTACAGATTCTAATCACATACTTTGAAATTTTATCAAATATTTATCTTTCTTCCTCTGCATAAACATCTTTTTATAGGATTCATTAAAAATGACAGAATAGGTAAAATTTGGTTAAGTTTTTATAATATTTTTCTTGCATGCAAACAAGAGATTTCTTTTTTAGACCTACTGCGTGTGTAGAAATTTTCCAAATGATTATTCTTTCTGATCACTTGCTTAATCCATTAACCATTTTCAAGGATTTGTGTTGTATTACTTGTTATAAATTGTAAGCCATGTAGAAGTTATTGAAAGGTAAATATTTTGAATTCCCAAATCCAACCAGTACATTGTGACCAAATTCATAGTTGATGTTCTTAAGAAATTATTTAAGGGCTTCAGTTATTTTTAGATGTTTTTTTTGCAGTTGTAAGTGCATAATACATTTTATGTCTTCAGCAAATGTTTCATATCAAGGTTGGTACATTTTCATACTGATTTAAATGGGACCTTATGGAGCTCTGGTCAGTAAAATACCTTTCAGCTACTTACACATGATAATCCTTGAAAATGGCTAATAAATTTTAACAATTTTCCAAGTCTAAAAGAAAGAAAATTCTTGTTTGAATACTAGAAAAATTCATTAAAAACTTAATAGAAATAGCTTGTCAGTCATTTTTAATCAAACATGTATTAGAGAGGGGATAGACACACATAATGAATGTAATGAGAACAAAAATAATATATAAATTCTAACGTTCACAGCATTAATCCAAAAGAGGGCTCAATACTGATAGTAGAACAATAATTATTATATTTTTTTCATATAGACAAAACCAATTTACTCACTACAAACATACAACTTTGTTTCGGTGCATTTAACTGAAAAGTTTTTATTTTGACTAAAAAGAATCTACTTGGTCAGATTTTGGGAAGTGTATTGAGCTGCCTCATAAATCTTTTATAACAGAGACTAGAAAAGAAGATATAAAGTGAAGTAGACATTAGTTAATATAAATTGTTTAATTCACAGAATAACATATCTGAGTATTTGTTCAAAATGGGTGAATCAAAAATCTTTTTCTGGGGGACTTATGTCTTGTTCCTGAGAAAGAATAAACTTATTTCTGAGTTGTTCATATATTTCTCTGAGGCAATAAAGAAACATTTTCTGACTGTATTATCATCATCATCATCCAGAAAATGTAAGTGCAAATGGTCCCTAAAACTTGATATAAGTTAATATAAGTGTTGACATAACAAACAGATTAAAATCCATTTAATCTTGATCACTTATTAAGAAAAGATCAATGTCATTATTTGATTAACATCAGGAAATCAAATCAATTGACTGAAATTTGTCTTCTCCAAAAACAATTGCAGAATCTTAATCTCTTCTTGTAAAAACAAACAACAAAGATTTTAATGATTGTCTTTCACATCCCTATCACCCATTATTATCCATAAATTTCATGGATCTTTTTCTTAAAATGGAATTTTCAAGGCACAATTGGAAAATATTGCTTATTTCAAAAGAGGAAAGAAATTGGAATGTTAAGTGAAACAATCTCTTTTATAGAAATTTCTAAAATAGAAATTATCTTCAATTCTCCTTTAAATCAAAGGAAATAAATCACCAAAAATATAGTATTTAATATTTGCTTCATCTAATACGCACATAAATATTTGACAGTATTAATTTTGATTGAAGCAACTTTAAAAATTCACCGGGAATCTACTCCACATTATAGGGTTGTATGATGTAACACATTTAGTACATGTAAAGGGTCCAAGAAAAACTTTGACAATTTGTAAATGTGGTTGGTTGAAATTTGCTTTTAGTTCCCAAAAAATTATTCTTACTGTCAAAAACACATGAGGTCCATCATAAAAACAAAACATTAACCAAAATTATATCAGATCAAAAACTGTCGTTAATTGAGAATTAAAATTAATAACATTCTTGAAATACAGGAAGTGTCTCCAAAATTGAGAAAAAAAATTTAAATTAGACAATAAAAATTAACAAAATAATGATAAACATTTTTTGAATTTAAAAATTAAAGCTTTTTGCCATCATTAAAATTTGAAATTGGGTTTAAAATTTTAGAATATTTGCATTTAAAAACTTTGATTGATAATTTTTTAAAAAATCCATATATTTTTGGCACTTAAAAAAAAAAAGTCAGTGAATGTTGGAGATGTGGAGTGGGGGAGGCTGTATTTTAAGGAATGAAAGATGATTGGTTGAAATTGCAGCTACTTATTTTGTTTTCTATTCAAAGAGACTCTTCATATCACAAAGTGTTTCAAACAACAAATCCATAAAACGAGTGGAATCTGTGATCTGAGCAGACCTCTTGGAAGAGATGTGGAAGAAGATTTTTTTGTTTCCTGCAATCATATAGGAGATGCCATAACCTGTGTCTGAAACAGGACCAAATCCACCACCAGGACCTAACTGCAAAAGAAAATGAATGCAAATATAACATCCAACAAATAATAATGCTAAAAATTTGAAGATTTTGCTTCTAACTACAAATAATTTCTGTCAAGTATTCTTAGATTCACAATTTTTTCATTTTTTATATAATTTTTTATATAGTGTAAATATGTGATTTGCTCATTTTGAACTTCTATTTGGCTTTGGGTAAGAGTGTAACTCATTGGTTAGTAATAGAAACAATTGTGAGTCTTCTTTTCTAAGCACTGACTATATTCTGTTTTGTTTTTTTTGTTTTTTTTTTTTTTTTTTTTCTACATTCAATTCTTTAACTACTTTCATCCCCAAAATATGTAATAGTTATTCTGCTTAGTTTTCTACAAACTACATTCGCCTTCTCAAACTTTAAAAAGGTAACTTTGTATTTTAATTTTCTTTTTTTTTTTTTTTCTAATTACTACTTGGGCAATAGTTATGAGGGAATGGTTTATCCAAATTGTTATTCACCCACCCACTCTCTCTCTCTTTTCCATTGTGACATGGGATTTTCTTCATCAAGATATCCATCCAAATTAAAAAAGATACAAAGATTGAAAAATTTATTTTGTCAAGTATTTTAAGGTAGGATTTTCTTAGATTGACTTTTTTACAACTAAATGTCTTTTCTGATTTGTTGTTCCTCTAACAGTGCATACACACATTTGAAATTATTCAAGTGATCTGATGTTTAGTTGTTTAAAATAATTTTAAGCTGTTATTAATTACTGTATTTAACAGTATATAGGACAAAACGAAAAACAAAATTGAGGTTCCCCCCACCCCCTGTAGGCTAATTTTATCCTTCATGCTCACTAATGTAGGCTTTGATGGTCACTTCTACTAAAATGTCAACTCCATAATACTATTATTTACTTAAACAAAATTATTATTAACATTACTACTCCAGGTACTGTAAAAGAAATTATCACAACAAATCAATGTTCATTAGTATCCACTGGAAACTACAGAAGATGAAACTGAAAGGAAATCGCATTAATAGTAAAACACTGGGAAACATTAAAGCCACAGAGAAAAATGTGCATCGTATAAAATGACCAAAGAATAATGATTGGTGAAGGAGTAAATGTGTTTTTATTATGTTCAATTGTGTTGTACAAGTAGCTATGCTTTGCCGATGCAGTAATGCTTTCTACTAGAGTTAAAATGTTTATGTAATGTACTGATAGCTTTGCTTTAAATGTAATTAAATAGACTAAAGACTTTTTCATGAATATACAGTGGTTCATTGATCTTAATAGCTGATTTATTTTGTAAATTTATTCTAAGTAATGGAATTGGAAAGATACTTACCATTGGATCAAATTCTGGCAGGTTACAGTCAGGTGATGTTGTAATTTGTTGCTGTGGCTGTTGACTGGTAGACAATGTCCAAGGCAATGTAAGAGTATGTTTCAAAAATTGACAATCCTAGAAAACAAACTCATAAATTTAAAGATATTATTACAACAGATAAAATACAAGGACCGCTCCAAAAGTAATACTTAAGTAATACCTTATTTTGACCCATGGTAGATGTTGGTTATGTGGCAATAGAGATTGAACTATTTTATCAATAATCCATAATTATTTTGCCTTATTACAAAGTAGATGAATAGAAATCTAAAAAAATGGCATCTGAAATAAAAGTGTACATGAAACAGATATATGCCATTGAATTCTTGTATGTGGGAAAAATTGCATTCAGTGACATTAACCAATACTTGTTGAATGTTTATGAAGACCAAACAGTGAATGTGAGCACTGTTGTGTAGTGGGTAATGCATTTAAGAATTAATGACAATGATGAGTATGAAAAGGGGGGTTTACCTCTGCTAGTGTAAATTTTTGCAAGTATGTAGGCTTTTGTTTATTGCTAGTAAAAATGCATACATAATAGTGTCGATTATGTAGCTGAAATCTTTGCTCCTATGCTACCTGAATTGGTTGTAGTTTCCATTGAAATAAATAGAAGGCATTACTTTCAGAGCATCCCCTTCATACTTTAAAATTTTTATCAAATACAGTGTAACCCGGATATATATTCTCCGGTCCCGACAACTCTCTTATATCCGGGTCACACTGTATACACAAAGGAATCTGACAGTTATTAGTTGAATTTTGAGCTTAAACTTTAACTGTATATGAGTCTTTCTGATTGCAAATCAATCAGCCACCCATCAAAAGTTGAAGGAGATAGAGGATAAATATCTGCAGGTTGTAAACCATTTGAGTCTAATTACAGAGTTGTCAATAGAGAAAGATTTGAAGAGGAAAAGGCTGCAATGCTTTCATAAGTGGTCTAATATCTAATATCATCTGTGAGCAGCTGCTTAAGAAGAAAACACTTGACCTTACAACTGCCTTTGATCAGGCAAGAGCTTAAAAGAATTTAGAATTATTCTTTGTATTACAGACAATGACAACCTTTAGTGTTACAGCAGCAGCAGCAGCTATTTCCAATGATAATGCACATATGTATGACTCATGACAGTTCACCTGAAAAACAAACATTAGCTGCTGTCTGAATGGACAAAAATGTTTCTCTTGTCAGATAGGCACCTTCACTGGAATTGTCGATACAGGAAGCTAAATGTGATAAAAAGATTTTTTTTTATACAAGATCTATTGTATTTAAGTCTCCATCTCATTATGAAGTCAGCTACTTTAGAAATTTTACCTTCTGCCTCTGCCGAGATTAAATTAATTGGGAAGAGCACTTTATGGACACTGTTAGTAATGAGAGCTTTATAGGTTGTTTCTTTGTTCAGGGACTACATTTGCTCACAGATCCAGGTTCCAAGATTGTATTTATAACATCAACTTCATTGATATTGTCTGAAGTCAATATCAAGACTGTGAGGCTGACCAATTTCTCTTGGACAAAACTTATTGAAGCGACATCAAAGCATTTATGTATATGTCAGTGGAGAGAAACCCTCATTAAATTGATTGGCTACCTTTTCTGATTACTCTCTTTGATTTTTTGCTAATGTAATCAATAATTGTAGCCCAGCTGTTACTAAATCAAGGAAATTTAGTTCTCCAGATAAATGCTGAAGTGAAGAGGCAATCATTGAGCTAACTACGTCTTGGTGAGTTCAAGTTGTAAATGACCACTAATGAGTGACGAGAAATGGTATACACTTACTTTCAGAGTGTTACCCCCCCCCCACCAGGTAATGACAAACTGTAAATGCTGTGGCACAAGACCATTTTTTAATACAACTGACTTGAAATATGATCAAGTGGTGAAGACAAGTCATACACTACTATTGAAGCCTGTGGTCAGTTATGATATTCCATTTGGAGTAACCAATAGAATTTTTTGTGCAGTAGAGACAAAATCATTATTAAATACACTTTTTCTTTCTGATAGTGTTATGGTCCAGGTCCTTGTACCACGGTGATGGTCCAAGGTAGCACCAATAAAGAAGAACACGGATATGGAATAACACAGATATATTACAAACAGGAATATATACAGAGAAGTAGAAAGTGTTAGTACGAACAATCAGGTTTAGTAGGGAGAACAATGTAATCTCGACCAGTATCACTATTCCAATAGTAATTGTCTGAACACGACTGTTTCGGACTGCCTCTGACTTGACTCTTGACTCGCTCGCTCTGACTGACTGACAGACTCCTGACAGACCTCGCTCCAGACTTCAGACTGAACGGTATTTAGTCACCCCCCCCCACGAGGGCATCATGTGGCACAAGGCCGGTTTAACGGGGATCTCCGAGCCTGTGGGCTCGCCAAAATATGCCCTTGAACCCGTGATAAATGGGTTCAGGGTCGGTTACCTCCCGAAAGAGACCCGCCTTTCGGCATAGCCTCGTTCGGGTTCCTCCCTCGTCAAGGCAGAGAGTTCAACCCGGTCAGCCGACTTCGACTGAACTCTCTGCTCCCTCTTGAGGCGCAGTATTTATTACGTATGGAATAGTCTGTTATGTTATTATGGGTAAGGTCCCATAACAGATAGGCTGACTAACCTGAATAAAATAAATGTTTTTGTGGTAAAAGTAAAGAAGAACCTGACATTAACCTCAGAAAATTCTCCAAGGTTACCAAAATGTCTAACTTAATCTATGATCATAAATGCATTTTCTCTATAATTTTTATAAACTTCTTGGTTTCTACTATTTTTGAGGATGAAATTAAACCTAACCCTGAAAAGTTTCAGCTACTAAAAATGTCCTCCTCTTAATCAGGATATGAATTCACTATATTGTACTTTAAAACTTTATTCTTATGCTATTTACATTGGATTATCAATTACTCAGAAGATTGCTCCTCATACAAGTTAAGATATTTCTATAACAAAATATTGCTGAAAAGGGATTTGAATTCTATTCAGATCAACCTACTGCTGCCACCTTAAGCAAGCTGGTAGACTAGTGTCCTTTTTCAAGGACATTAAATGCTTACAAAGGAAAACATTCAACAATAGAAAAGGTGTACACTAGAGTTAATGCTCTATGGAAATGGAAGCACTTCTTTATAAGATGCCATCTTTCTTATTGATTAGAAATCAGTGGCTTTCATGTTTGAGTCTAAGCAGTTAAATTAAGAATGATAAAATTTACAGATGGATGACTGAGCTTGCTACAACTTTGACAAAGTATTGTCTTGGCAAAGATAAGATTACTGTATATGCTTTTTGATTCCATATCCCAAATTGTATAGGGTTCTTTGTCATTCAAGTGTTACCTGAATGCTACACTTTGTTAGAAAGAAAAACCTACTATTTAAAAAGAATTTTGTACTTGTGTTCTGTTTGTATTGGGTGCAAACCAATTTTACCAACTTGATGTATGATATCTGACAAAGGCAATTGTATCATTTAAGAGACTCCATGTTGATTTTAAAAAGCACTTTGTTATTGACTTCAATTGATACTATAATAAATGACTTCTCTTTGCCCAGATATAATTTTTTAAACAGTGCTTCAGGCAGTTATTTACATCTACTAGCATGTCTGCATTTGGACAAAGACACTTTATTCATGTTACTGGATATGAGAAACTATTTGATAGTCATAGAATTTGGAATAGCCAAACTATGCCTTATAAACTTTAAGGCAATGAACACTTTGCAATGGTAGAATGGATCTATATGGCAAACAGTAATCAATTCCGTTCAGTCACAATGTTTGTCCATGACTCATTTAGAACTTATTGTCCTAGAGGATATATTGCATTCAAACTCATTTGACTTGACTGCTACTAATTCTACTGAACATAATTAAACTACGCCCAGCAGCAAGGCAACTGACCCAGGGTTGTAGCACCTGTTAGGGTCCCAGCCATGGGCAAATAGTTAACTGTTACCAGCAATACTTTTTGAAAAAAATTATTACCAGTAATACAATATTGAAGTATAAATATTACCAGAAACAGATTTTTGGCAAAACAAAATATTACCAGCAATAACAAATTTTCTCAGCATTAAATAACCGATTGAGCTTGATATGCTGTAGAACAAAATAAAGCAAACCAATTTAATTAGTCAAACTATTCCAGGTATGAGAAAGAGGGGTGAAGATTGGCCCCACCTGGCATGAGAAGGAAACAGACACATAGATTGGCATTACTCACCAGGTGTCAAGGGGGAGAGACATCATGAGGAGGAGGAGGAGCAAAAAACACAAAGACTGGCATCCCAGATAGTGGAGAGAGGGTTACACAAATTGGTACCATGAGAGGAAAGGAGGACACACTAGGAGATAAAAACTAACAGGCATGAAAGAGATGCACATATAGATGTACAGAATTGATTGCAATCTGCATCAAAGAGAGGGACACACATATGCAGATTGGTATCAAAGGAATTGACAGATGCTGACTTTTGGTTCTGATTTTTTTTATTTTATTGTCAAGTCCATGTCTCATTTTATTTAATCTAGCAGCTTGTATTGCCATCAATTAAATCTGGTTGAATGAAAAAGCCTTCTCAACAACAGAGATGTTTGATTTCACTGTGTGTGATGAACAGATAGTCAACCTGGCTGACTCCATTAAAAAAAAAGAAAATTCCTTCTAAAATAAGCTTATTTTTGGCTAAATTTTTAAAACAACATATTGTTCAATAATTTTTTGTGTGTCATCTTTCACTTTTCCCAAAGAAAATAACAATTGAAAATATTAGTATAAAAAAAAGGATGAAAATGATAGTCATTGATAAATGATAAAGTGAATATCGTTTCTGTTGTTCCATGAGACAAACTATTGCAAAATAATTCTCTTTTAAAGTTTCAAGAAATCAAAAGCTTTTGTGAAATCTGTACATACAACTGTCACAAAAAAACCATGAAATGTCTTTCTACTTACATAACCAAGTGCTTCACTAAGAACATAAAGTCCAAAGAGATGGCGATCAATTCCTTTCCCATTCATTGCATCTTTGTATAAAGTTTGGTGTTGTGCACAAGCCTTTCGTAATAAACTGATTTTTTTCTCTTTGGAAATTCTCTCATCTTTCATAGCTCTATAAGAAAAAATAGACAATAATGAATGAAAATGTTATTTCCTTGTCAACTTCATAGATGCAATATGAAGTAGTTAAATAAATTCATAGACACCAGCAGCTTCTGCTTAAGTAAGGTTAAAAAAATAGGCACAAAATAGAAATGCAATCATTTTTCTCAATCTGAGATTATTTCCAAGAAATATTCTTATGATGCTGTGTTTTTGTTTGCATTGAATCATTGATTTTTTCATACATTAGAAAAGATTGAGTTAAAAATTCTTACCTGCAGAAAATAACTTTTAATAATGGCCACCTTTTATTTCATATATACAAAGGAATAGCAAATCATACTTATTATAAAACCCAGGTTGTGTGTGTGTGTCTGTTCGTTTATATATTGGATCGGATTTCCTACATTTTTCAACCGATTTCAACAAAACTTCACAAGACTACGTAAAATTACCTTGTGGTGGTTCTGACAGCACCAAAAATTAGAAAAAAACAATTGTTTTTGCACGAAATCAATTTGAAAACACAATTAAGAGGCATCGCTGTTGCGAGAATGAAATTGGGACAACTCATATCGAGTTATACTTATTATAAAACCCAGGTTGTTTGTGTGTGTGTTCGTTTATATATGTGATCGGATTTCCTACATTTTTCAACCGATTTCAACAAAACTTCACTTTTTTTTGGCAGGTAGTGTTTCTTATTGTCTTGCACACTTTTTTCTTTATTTTTACATTCAGAATGCTTTAAAAATTCCATTTACAAGACAATTGTTTATAATAAAATTCTATTCAATCGGTAGACTCATAATGATTGAAAACAATGTTTTTGTTTGAGTTTGGGTTTGACCAATTCGTAAAAAAAAAAAAAAAAAAACAAAAAAAACTAATTAAGACATGCGTGTCCGTCAACCTTAAACAATAATCTTTGTCAATTTTATTTTTCAGTCTTTATGATGGTCAATACTTGATCTATCTCTTACTGTTACATCCCCGGGCAATGCCGGGCTCTACTGCTAGTTTAAAATAAATTTATTAATTCAGATGAAGTGCATTTATGTGAGACCACTTCACATTTCTTGTGCATGTACATCAATATTGTCTATAGCCTATTCATAAAAATAGAATTTATTTTACACAACCCATTTTTCAACATAATTTCCTTCCTTGTCAATGCACTTATCCCAATGTTTCTCCAAAGATCTATATAATGAAAATTTCAGATAAAAATCCAGCTAATAACTTTTTTAAACTATGGATTTGTGTTTGTGTGCATGGCTCTTGGATTTTTATTTCTAACTAAAAAGCCATACTGCTCGAGCTCTTACTGATTAGCCTCACATTTTTAGACCATTAAAGTGTATATATATATATATATATATATATATATATATGATGATGATAGGTTTTTAATGTAGTCAAATCTCATGATCCACAGGTGGTGGTTTGGGTAATTCAATGTGTCTTAACTAAAGTTTCTTAATAAATTGTTGTGTTAAATTGCAGGGCTACAGACTAAGTTTTTTTTTTTTTTTACTATCATCCTAAAAAAAACAATTTTAATCATGCTGAATCACTTAAATTGACAGAACAACTTTTTTTTTTTTTAATGAATAAGTTCAATACAAAAATAGCATTTACACTTAATTAGGTACCTCCAGCTTTTCATTAAAAAAGAGCATAGCATGATGAAAAAAACCTAAGCTTGATGAAAACAAAGTTTTATCATTAAAATGTTTTTTTGTTATTAAGACAAAAAAGCAAAGCATTTTTTTCTTATTTTATTAAATTTTTTTTAATCCTTTCCAGCATATTCGAAATTTTGGTTAAAAATCTTGTTTTTCTTGTGTCAGTGGGTGGGCCAAAGATTCAGTTAATTATGTGCCATGCATGATACATGCTTAGGCGATCATGTATCGTTCGATGAGGCAGATTTTTTCCCACAGCAGGTTGCCATTTCTTTCTGCAGTGGACCAGTTGCCATTCAAGGCTATAGAACCCGGTCTGTCTTGCTATTTACCCATATCTAGGGGAGAAGAAGAGGAGTCATACCTTTCCCAAGGTTATTAGCACGTAAGTGAATGTAATGGATTTGACTGGAATTCGAACTCGGCTATCCAATTCCTCAACTTGAGCCACTATCCATTACTCTGTGTATGGGAAATTTAATGTCTTTTCTGTGTTAAAAAAACATTGTTTTGGAAATTCTTCCAAAAATCAAATAAGTATCAGATTTTTATGAGATTTTCAAAGCTTATTCACAAATGAATGAATTATTTTTTAAATATTTTCTAGAAAATCTTAGTAAAAATATTTTTTTGTAGCTGTTACCCCTACTTACTTAATTTTATGAAATTTTGAGAAATGAAATCGTGATCTGAATATTATTTATATTAGTTAAAAGCAGGACTCCTTGGAGAATTTGAATCATCAAAATTTTTTTTTTCTAAAACAATTACTCATTTACCAAAAATCTGCTCCAAATCATAAAATAAAAAATGCAATGACATTTAATTAGAAAAACCTTTAATTGCTTTTATAAATAAAATATATTAAGGACATTATTGTCTTATGAAAAAGTGTTTATTTTATGAATAATGAATTTTTACAAGAATTGTTTTCATTTTTTTAAAATTTTAATTATAATAATTTATAAAGTTTTTAATCTTTTGAAATTCTGTATTAATTGCAGCTTTTTAAGGGATATTAAGTGAAAACTATATTTACTACCGTATATACTTGTGGATAGCCCCCCCTCCACTTTATGGCTTAATAATTGATAATTTACTATTGAACCACAGATAGGTTTCACCATAATCTGGGGATTTACACAGTCCTTTTTAAATGTAAGAATTATCAGATATCTACTTTTTATTTCAAAACTTACAATTATTAATACACTTTTGCAGTTAAAATAGATTTCGTCAATCATCATGTAAACAAAAGAAAGTAACTGTTATACCAGTATTTTTATATCTACTGCATATTATACTATTTACATTGGTCAATTCAATACCTGGTTATGGTGGTGGAGAACTTGGAGAGGGGAATTAACAGGAGATAACTGATAACTGAAATCCATTAGACATGGCATATAGAACTAGAACAGTCTACCCCAGTTTGCAAAATAAAGGGTTCAATTTGACATTCCAACCACCTGAAGAACGTAATAAATATGGCGACAAAGATGAGGAGAATAGTCTGAATAATGTAAATAGCGTACATAATACCTCATCTCAGAAATGTAGACAGCTACCGCATATTATGTTTATATCAAGACAACTTCTAATTTAAAACCTGCTTCATAACTCTTTCTTTTACTCATGATTAGAGTTTCAACAATTAAAATTATAAACTATAAATTTGACTACCAACTATATCGCTGCACAATGCAAAATAGTGCAAATGTTTTGGGTACTAGATTCATGTGCTTTTTTATTTGTAAATTACGCTTAAGAGCATCTATTAATGTTATATGAAACAACCATTAAAGAAAATTATCTTATAAAGAATATATTTCATTTATTTAAGTCATATTTTCCAATGTATTTTTGACAATATATATATTTTGCAGAATGAATCGTGGGACTATTTTTTCTTTGTCAATAAATATCTACACGTGGCTCGTTAACTTATGTATGCATGTTCAGGGTTTCTATATCAGTCTAGGGTGAGGGCCCCAACCGAATAGTGACTGATGGATCAATGAATGTTTTATAATTTTATTTATTTATTGTGATGAATATGTGAATCTATCAACATGAGGTAAATTTAAAGCAGTGAATCAGTATATATGATAGATAAATTGTTCGGATATGGAGAAAAACCATAGCTTTAGTGTTTATGGGTATCATCTCCAATTACTTTGGTAGTGTGCTTGTCAAACTCTCTGCCTCTGTGAAGAGAGGAACCCAGACAAGTCTATGCCAAAGGGCAGAATTTCGTCTGGGGTAGTAGACAGTTAACTGACCCTCTTTTTACGGGGTCTACGGGGAATTTTTTGCCTGAGCCTATGGGCTTGGTAACCACACAATAAACTCAGCCATGTACCACATCCAACCATGTGGGGCGGTTAAGGAATATCATCATTTCCGATTTCTCAGAAATCATGATGACAAGGTAGTGTTGTTTTATATTTGTCGAGCGGGTTGGTCGCACCCCTAATATTTTGTGAAATTTTTGGTAAAAAAAGTGCGACCTATCCATGAGTATATACAGGAATCATAAATGGAAAAGCTTATCATCATACACCAATATTTTTAAAACAATTTTGAATTTTTGTTATTAGTGTATAAGCATGCCAATTTTTGTAAGTACAGTCGACCATACGTAACATTATCAGAAAATAAGAGCAATAACTATAGTAAATTTAAAAGTGAAATTTCTAAAATTCAATAAAACATTAAATTATGGAGAATATTTGCCTAAATTTTAAAAATTACTGAGTACTTAAAAATTATTTAAAAAGGCACTCACGTCATTTTCTTAAATTGTTTTACAGATAAAGTTTTCATAGAACAAGATTAAATCTGTCATCACCTCGTCAAGCACATAAACATGGCTACTGTTGGCTAAAATTACAGCTACTGTTAAAAACTTCATTTCTGTGATATTTTAAACTTAAAGTAAATAATATTTGTTTCAAATCAGATTAATTATACTTTAAATCAGTTAATATTCCTCAAATAAAGTTTCAGAAAAATACATTTTATTTTTGCAAAATTTTTAAATCTGAGAACTAATTTGTGTTTACAAATATCTCAAAAATGGTGACTTTGATGATGTTATCGAAAAAAAAAAAAATGAAAATCGATTTCAATCAATATAATTTCTGTTTGAATATACCAGAGAATAATTTCAATTAAAGCTAAAATGAAAGATTCAAGAAAGCATTTTCATTTTTTAGAATTAATTTAAACCTTAGGTGTCATGATTTTTGTGGAGGTACCTACAGTTAATCACAATTTAATTAAAAAACTATATTTATTTTCAGAATTATTATTATTATTTTTTTTTTTAAATTGACAGAACAAAAGTTTTTTTCAAAAACTGAAATACAAAATAAATTAAAAATAAACCATTAAGAAAGTGTCTGGTAATGTGTTATTGATACCTATTTCATTTCCCTCACACATTCCATTGGCCAATGAAATAAGGAAAGATTAAGTGAAAGAAAGAACTAGTAAAAAATATTGGCCTCTCTACAGTACTAAGCCATACAGGAAACTTTCTTTGGTTTGAAAACATTTTTTTTGAGTCATAAGTTATTTGAACAGTGAACTGAATGTTTAATACAAATATCTCCGCTTGTTAGTTAAAATGTTTTGCACTCATAGTTTTAAAAAGTTGGTTAACAAAAAAATGTTAAAAAAACTAAAATAGCTATGTATTAATTACCATCAATATCTAATTCATTTGATAAATGATTTGCATTCAGTTACAGAAAGAATATATTAGCTACATTTTAAAATTAAATTGATGTCATTGTTTACTTAGTATCGACAACAAATGTCATAAATTGGTTTTGGCTTTTCATGGTAAACTTTAATGGGAAATTTATTGCGTCCTTTAAGATTTTTATGCATCAGGGATGCAGGACATACACCTATTAGCATTTCTCTGTGTGTATATATATATATATATATATATATATATATATATATATATATATATATATATATATATATAGTAAATATTTACTGTTCTAAAGATTCTTCACTTTATTGAATTAACAGAAATTCATGAAATTTGAATGGCAATAGACAATATTTATTTTCTTGTTTCTGCTCATAATAAGAGTTTTTTTTAATCAGAATGAAATTTTTCATGCAAAATGACTGAATGGTGATCTTGGAGTATTCAGAAAAGATGCTTTGGCAGAAATTTGTCGTTTCACATTCTTCACATTTGGCTGATTCCATGTGGAAATCTTTGGTATTTGTGATTTGTTGGCAGAACAGAAATTAACAATACATTGAATATGCTTGTCAATACAAGAGGAATGAGAAATATGAAAGATTTCAACACTAGTATTAAATTCTCCCATAAAGAAAGTCTCTTTTAAACACCTTATCAATTATATTTTGGATTTCCATATATAGCTGTTCTATCTCATCATCTGAATCAAATGAAAACTGATTCTTATTACCCTGAAAAGTAATAGGAACAAGCCTGTCATATATTTTGAAAATTCATAAAAACATTGTGCTAAGTTTTTACAGACAAGGAAATCCACACCATTCAATTTAGATTTTTCATTACCAGAATTAAAAGTTGATGACCACAAAGAAAGATTTAAGTGTTGGATTATTTAGTCGAAGATGTCAATAAATCTATCATGTTCCAATGTAGCTTTTCAATTTCAACAAGTATAACATGAAAAATCAACAAGATTCAAGTTGCTTATATATTTCAGATTATATACATATATGTTGGGATATTTCTAATTTTTTTTCTCCAGATTGCATTTCTTACATGTTAAGTACATTCTTGTTGATGGTCCAGACATTACCTCATCTGATTATGAGCAACATTGGGAATGGCTAATCTATTGGAGAAAAGGTGTTTTTTTTATTCTAGATGTCATCTACACGTGAATTGCTGAAGAGCTAAAGAGTCCCACCTACACATGAGACATTAATTTAACTCCCCCTACCCGTGGGTAGAATTGAATATTAAAACTAAGAGACTGGTTTTGTTATTTTTGAAAAACATGCTTGTACATAATGAAAACTTGATGAATATTTTCTGAATATTAATTTTCTTTGTTCACATCACGTAGAGAACACAATACTTTCATCCTATTCTCTACTTTCTTGAGAGATTTGGTGTTTATGTATGAATCAGGAGGAAAATGTATCAGCAAGATTTATTAATTAATATCTGAAATAAAGTTGACGAAGCCTAAGCGTGGGTGTGCTACTTGAAAATATAAAATTAATTTTTATCAAATGATATCGAGAAACATAAATTCAAAAAGTGAAGACATAATTGTATGAAATGAATAATTACCTGACAAATTCTGCAAGATGAGATGTAAGAGAACGAACAGTTTCAGTTCTCCCCAGGAGGTACAGGCGGGTCATGGAAGATTCATAGGTCAGAGCCAGTTTTTTATAATAAGTATAGTATGTCAGTTGCAGTGCACTTTGGATGTAGGCATCTGGGCTTACCTGAAAATATTTTAAATTTGTACACATAATGTCATACACACACACACACACACACACACACACACAGGGTGCGAGTGCTATTTGAGGACATATTGTTTTGAGTTCACTACACACTGAAATCATTTATAATATTATTTTTTTTTTATTTCAGATAACCCAGTCAGAGGATGATGTTAACCCAAGAAATGAAAAGACATGCAGTCATTGTTGCTTTTGCTACAAAACATAGGGATTAAAAAATCAGTAACTTTTTACATGTTGCCAGATCATTTGTTCATAAGTTTTGGTTGGAGCTAGAGGGATGTAATGGCAATGTTTCCTCTGTAGCAAAAAGAAAAAAGCATTCACAGCGTACTGATAACCGTGAGAACACCAGAATTTATATGGAATGTTTAAAACATCATCGATGAGAACCCCGGAAGATCAATGAGGTCCATCGCCAAAGAACTCCAGGTATCAGAGTGGACTATCAGAACTGTAGTACATCGAGACATTCGATATAAGTCATATGTAATGAGGAAAGGCCAATTCATATTGGCAAAGATACCAGAAAACCGTCTCATGCATTCAAAATGGTTGCTGAACAAAATGAAAAATCCCCACGAACATGGCATGCTTTGATTTTTCTCTAACAAAAAAACTTTGACCAAAATCAGAAAACAAACAGACAGAATGACAGGTGGCTATGTGCATCTTCTTCTGAAGTACCCAGGGTGATGCACACCAAATATCTGGCAACTGTGATGGTTTTAGGAGTTGTAAGCAGTGAAGGTCATGTCATGCCACCTTACATTTTCCCACAAGGTTTTAGGATCAATGCTGCTCGATACATTAATGTTCTTAAAAGGGTTGTTAAGCCCTGGATAAATAAAGTATGCAATGGAAGGCCATATGTCTTTCAACAAAACTCTGCACCTTCTCACAAAGCCATTGTAACCCAGAATTGGTTATCAGAGAATTTTTACGATCATGTGACCCCTACCTCACCAGATTTAAATCCTATGTACTATTGTGTGTTGAGTGTCATTGAAAGGGAGACTAATCGACATCCTCATAGTACCATAGCTGCACTGAAGGCCGCCATTGTCAAGGTGATGTCCAAAATGAATACGGATCACTTAATTACAGCTTGTGGACAGTTTCGAGCCCGAATAGAAGCAGTCATTGAAGCCAAAAGGTGGTTTCATAGAATAATTAGATAAAGAAGTATCATGAAGGATATTTGTGTCAATTTGAATTAAATATATACATTGTTTGCTAAGATATTACTGTTTAACATACTAAAAATGTCCTCAAATACCACTTGCACCCTCATATTTATATATATATATATATATATATATATATATATATATATATATATATATATATATATAATATTTTAATCCAATGGATAAATATAGGTAATTGTTGTAATGCCTTCACTTTTCAGACAGAGAAGCCAATAGCCCTGATGTGTGAAGGCATTACAACAATGTGCTCATGAAACTTTGAAGTCAGCATGACTGAAATAACACCACTCAGTTAAGTGAGAAGTTTCTCCAAATATATATATACACACACACACAGAGGTATAAGATAAGAACAAATGGAGTATAATTCCACTGCCCATAGCATTTAAATTTTAAAAAAGGGGCTCAATACAAAGTAGAGCAAATAATTTTAATTTTAAATGGTTTAATCGTATTTATTGACTTCTCAAAGAAGCCTTTTAATTTTCAACTACAAAATCTATGTTATAATACATACATAGCTATACATTTGATTATCTTCCTACTCCTCTCCTTAGGTTCTTACGGAAAATTGAATGTTATATTTGTCTATAATTATGATTCAATGTTGTCACTCGTTTATAGTTTGAATTAATTTCATGTCTGCCACAAATGACCTTGTCTAGGATTCTATTTCAGGCTACATTATCCCATGATCTAAATTTTGTCTTTTTTAGGTTAATTTTGAATTTAGTGTAGGTCTGTCACCTGATTGGTTAATCAGGGTAAACCCACAAGCCTCATTTTAATTCTTGTTTCTCATCTTCTCTTCTCGTTTGAAAAAAGAGGGGGTATATTGCTTTTGAAATTAAAAATAGTCATTTACTCACCAGTTATTTACTATCACCTGAAGAGGTACAACTTAGTGCCAAAACATGGAAACGATTGTGTAGCGATTTTTAACATGTTTTTGTTTTAATTGCCTATAATAAATAATAGATATATGTACCTCCACAGATTTGATACCTAAGGTTTAAAATTAATTTGTAAAAATGAAAAATCTTTCTTGAAGCTTTAATTTTAATTTCAAGCTAATAGATTAAATTTAACATTTCCAATAAGCAAAATACTTTGTTCTATTTCAAAACTAATTTAAAGTGACTGGAAGGCGTTTGTTTTTTAAGTTTTTTTGCTAAAAAATTTGGTTTTAGTGCCATTTTTTTTCAGTCCGCATTTATTGCAATGTAATTCTCTTTATTAAAATATCTGCCAAAAATAAAATATAATTTTCTGAAACATTATTTGAGGATTATTAGCTGATTATAATTAATCTGATTTGAAACAAATATTCTTTACTTTATGTTTAAAAAATAGTAGAAATGCATTTTTTTAATATGTTGGTAGCTGTCATATTTAATCTGACATGTTGGACAGCTTGATGACAGATTGATGTTTATCTAATGTTGTTTTATGGGGACATTATCCATAAAAAAAAATTGAATATAACGTGAACAGCTTTTATATATCATTTTTAAGTACTTAGTAATCTTAAAAATTTAGGAAAATATTCACTGTAATTTATTGTTTTATTGAATTTTAGAAATTTTGGCTTTAAATTTACTATAGTTATTGCTCTTATTTTATGATAATGTCATGTATGGATGTCTGTATCTACAAAAATCGGCATACAAAAAAAAAAAATTTTTTTAAAAATATTGGTGCTTGTTGATATAGTGATACTAGCAAATTAGTATGCATAATTTGCATAAGCAGAACTGAACATTCAATATAAGTGGTTACTGAGAATTACCACTAGCAAGTACGAGCTTAGCAGCTGACTAGTGCTAATTTGAACTTCACAACACTGGCCTTTTTAATGAATTAGATGAAGAAAGATCACATCTTCCGCGCACCCCATTGGATGTTTGTAACAACCAATCCGCTGTGCGAACTATCTTTTAAATGGTCCACGGTGGGGACTGGAGTCTTTTCTTTTTTCGGTGGACAGCAGTTTCAATGGATAACCGAATAGGTAATCTAACGTTCCCAAATGTAACCCATTTTTTCCTAAGTATGGTATGGTCTCTTACTCTAAATATTTCCCGTTTTGATTTTATTTGTACTTTTGCGGTGGTGGGGAGACTTAAACTCAACCCTAGTATCACATTTTTATCGTTTTCTTAACATTATTGCAGGTCCGTTAACTTTAAATGGATGTGTTCGCAAAATGAAAATAATTGTCCATAAACATGCCGTATGTTTTGACTGTACACAAAAAAATAAAAATAGAAAAAAAATAAAACTCCTCCATATCACCCTCAATCAAATGGAATAGCAGAAAGGATGTAAAAAAGGGGTTGAAAGCATGCTCTCAACAAAAAGAAAAAGTAGAAGTTTTTCTACCGAGGATGCTTTTAAGTTATTGGACCATACCACACACGGGAAGACTCGAAAGCCCATCAGCTTTAATGGGGAGACAGATTAGAGCTTTGCTAACTATGTCATACTCTACAAGTGAAAAGATGTGGTATAAAAAGAGCAAGGTTGCAGATACGGAAGGAGCAGAGTTTATAATGCAAAAAGGCCATAATACAGCCATAATAAATAGAGAGAATGGCGATAGTGTGTTGGCCCATGCTGACCAAATAAGGACCCAGGGTGAAGAGGAAGAACGAAATGATGAAGAGATGTCAGTTTCATCTGATAATGAGTTGGTAGAACAACCATTACAGAAGGAAACGTCAGAGGAAACAATGCAGGGGGAAGAGGGACAGAAGGACTCTGAAAATTCAGATGAAGACCAGAGTATGCAAGAGGACACATGTGACTACAGCCTAGACCGGGACAGATCCCAGGAAAAGAAATACAGGAGAGAGAGAAAAAGAACAGTTTGAGGAAAATATCAGAAGAAGGAGTACAAGAGCTACGAGAGGAATAAAGGAATAGAGGTTTAGGGAGATGTAGTGATACTAGCAAATTAGTATAAGCAGAACTGAACATTCAATATAAGTGGTTACTAAGAATTACCACTAGCAGGTACGAGCTTAGCAGCTGACTAGTGCTAACTTGAACTTCACAACAGTTGATTTGTACTAAGCTTTTACATTTATGATTAGTAAATGTAGTTTTTACTTAATAATAATATTTAAAAGGGTGAAATTAACAGAGAATTTTAAAAGATTTAAAACTTAAATTAACTTAAATTATTTTAATTAAAATTAAAAAAAGAAAACATTTCTTGTAAAAATTCATTATTCATAATTTTTTTTTATTCTTAAGACAATAGTGTTCTTAAATCTTATTTATAAAAGCTTTTCTAAAAAATAAGTATTTTCTTAGTGTTATTGCATTTTTTATTTTATGATTCAGAACAGATTTTTGGTAAATGGGTAAATTGTGTTTCTGTTTTACAAAAAAAAAAATTGACAATTTAAATTCTCCAAGGAGTCCTGCTTTTAACTAATATAAATATGAAAAGGTTTAAATTTAATTTATGAAAATTTCATAAAATTAATCGAGTGGACGATAACAAGACTTTCTAAATAATTTAATTCATTTGTTCTGAAAATTTCATTAAAATTTGACGATTTTTCAAAATCAAACTGTTTTTTACTACAAGATGCTAAAATTTTCTATACTAACCTTTGTGCTTCCCAATTCCCACTGATGCAAGAAAAATAATGTTATAAAATAAAATAAGACATATCTCGGCTGATTTACAGGCATATACGCAAGAGCGATAAAACCCCGTCACAAAATGACCATTATCTTCATTTACAAATGTTCCCGACACTCGAGTTCCAGTCGAAAAATAAAATAATATTTAAAGTGTTTTATTTTTCGTCCAATAAAAATGCTTACCTCCTAATTATACTCGCCTGTTAAGCCATAAAACAACGCTATAAAAGGGGTCACACGGAAGTTCAACTGGCAGTCCACAGGTGCCCAGGATAGAGACCTGTCATGTTCAGCTGCTGACAGCAGGGGAGCATCAACCACCGTCAACATGTGTGAACTACTATGAGGGATCGACCTAGATCCGAAGCCAGCTTATGAACTTTACCACAAGGTAGCTGTCCCAAACCCACATGTTCCTTTTGAAATAAACCATGTAAATCTATTTCTGCTGTTGTCGTATTTCTTTCTTGCAACCATACGCTTGTCTATAACAATAAGATTCTTAATCAAATTTCAAGCATGCTAGAAAAGATTAAATATCTAATAAAATAATAAAAAATATCTTGGGTCTTTCCTTTTTATAATAACAAATATTTTGATGATAAAACTTTTTTATCAAGTTTTGGGGCCTTTTTTCATCATGGTATGCTCTTTTTACAGTGAATTAGTGGAGGTACCTTTTATATATATATATATATATATATATATATGAAGAAAAATATATACGGAAAAAACAAACAAAAATCTTTATATACAATTATGCTGTTTTAATGTTAATATGTTAACGTCGGACGTTTCGGTCTAATAAACCATTGACATATTAACATTAAAACAGCATAATTGTATATAAAGATTTTTGTTCGTTTTTTACGTATATATTTTTCTTCATACTGTCGGATCTATATCCATATATTTGCTTTTATATATATATATATATATATATATACATGTTTTAATAAGGATATCTGATTTTTAAATTATAATGATTACAGTTCAACCTCATGGAAGTTGGAGTATTTGACAAGATTTAAGAAGCACAAATTTTTAACAAATTGAGTGAGAAAAAAAAAAGTTTGGTCTATTAATTATTTACGAAGATTATGTCTGTCCCTCAGTTAATGTTTAGCCTTTAATTCTGTATCTACCATCAAAAGCAATCTTTTCATATTTTTTAAATATGAATAAAAATGCACAAAGACTTAGTAGTCTCTAATAATCCAGAATTTTCTCAAATATAAAAATGGATTTTTTAACACAATGTTGCTGGAGGGTATCTCTAATGACTTAGCAACAGCTATTGCTGGTGATCATGAGATATCTACAGTGTTTTATAACTCTCAACTTTGCAACATATATCTACCCACATTTTTTTTAAGAAACAGATCATCTACCTATTAAAGTTTAAAAATATTTGCTATGAATTTATAAAACTCTTCTCCCAGTTTTCTTAAACTTCTGAGATAATTAACTATCAAAGCATATTAAAATGGTCTAGAAATTACAAATAGGCTTTGTTTTTATCTAAATTTTTTCCGAAGAAAGAGATTCTTGGAAAGGCACACAAAACATTTATAGATGTTCAACGTCATAACCATGGGATTTCAGCTGCAGATGTAATAGAGAACATGCCACATGGTTTAAAAAAATACTTTTTAACTGATCAGAAATGAGATAAAAAATATTTATATCAAGTCAAAAGGCTATAAAAACTGGGGATTTTTATTCACTGGGGTCACATGTTCAACCTGCAACAGACTTCACACCTTTCATGACCAAAATATCATCATCAGCACTTTTTATAGTCTTATTTCAACGGTAATGAAATTTATAATTATCTTCCTCTCCCCCCCACATTATGAATAAACAATTCTCACTTCATATACAACACATTTGGTAATTAGTAAAACCTGATTTGTGAAAATGTAAATAAATTAGTTTAATGTTTATTTCACATGATTATTATTTCCTTTCATTCATTCTAATTTTATTGCTGTTTTTTGCCTGCTGATGAATGGCAACATGACCTTTTCTAGCAATATGGTTTTATGTCAAGGCCACATATTGACAGTAATACTGCCAGCACAGTGATTTTAGATAGTCACTTCCAATCTGTTTGACAGCAGTGCATACAAGGTTTACTGTTGGTTAGAAATGTTTGGAATTAAATACAAAGTAGTTTACCTTTATCATTTTCATAAAACCTTTTCCATAAGTGTCAAACATTCTCACAGCCAAATCAATATTTTCTTTGTTCTAAAAAAGAAAATTATAAAATAAAACACCAATAAGTTACAGTTGAAGAAAATTTTAAGATTTAAAAAAAAACAAAACAAAAAAAAAAACAGAAATTGTGAGATTTTAAAAGAGGAGAAATAAAATATATACAAAATTTGAGGTCAACTTTTTTTTAAACCGCACATTTTATATTCTTGGAGAACATTTTGATATTAAGAATTGAAAAGTTAATAAAAAGAAGGATGCTAAGTTACTAAGATGAATTGAATTTTGCAATCATGCAAAGAAATCAGATATTTTCATTGTTGGTCTTCCATAGATAATGTAACAGAATTTTTCATTTCAAGAAATCATATATATATTAATGATCTTTGATAAAATAAATACTTTTTCAAACATCAAAATTCATAGATACAACTTTTCAAATTTTATTTATTTTTTTTTTTTTAATAATTTTTGTTCTTATAACTTTTAATTTGAATCAGAAAATTAAAAGAAACAAGAATATAAAACCAAGCATTATTTTTTATTTTCAGTTGTGAGCTGAAATTTACAAAGTTTCACTTATATAAGGTCAAATGAAAAAAAAATGTTAAGATTATGTTCTGACTTTCTTCAAAGTAGGAAAAAGCATTTGTGTGTTTTAAAAACAGTATTTGAAATCTTGGCATTTTATTTTCACTTAGCTATGAACCCCACTAGTGTCAATGGAAAATATATAAATATCACAGCCATCACTTCCTGAAATTTTTTTATAGAAAGAAATGCAGGTTACAGATTCAACAGTCAGAAACTTTCCTGTATACAAATATAAAACATAATTATGAGTTTTTAGACTGAATTATGATATGTTTAGTGACATACCAGCTCCTTATAGGTCATTTAATGTTGAAAATTAATTTTCTTTGGACCTTTGAAGTAATAAAAATATAATATATGTTATTCTGCTTTCACAATTGAATACATGGTAGATGATACACAGCTTTTGTGTGGTCATGATTACTAGAGGCAGTGATAGGCATGTTTTATATTGTAGTTTTATTTAAGTTATATTTTGGGATACAGTTTGATTTAAGAAATTGTAAGATATGATATGAATTAATGTCATGAAAGGGTTTGTCATATTGATTGATATATTGTTGGTAACTTTTTTTTTTATATAAAAATGTGTTACTGGTATTTTTACTATAAAAATATCTTTTTATACTTTCATCATGATTTATTTTTTTTTAGGGGTTCACTATTTGCCCATAGCTGGGATCTTTACAAGTGCTACCAACCCAGGGTCAAGGTGGGTCTTTGAACAACAGCAATTAAGGTTCTACAATCCACATTCCTCAAAACCTTCAATCTCCTGATCAGAGGCTCTGATGCCAGATATAGTTTATCGTCATGGACTAACTGAATTATAAAAGTCTTACAAATGAATCTTGATTCTTTTCCCTTCAACATTTTTATGAAAGCCCCCCCCCCCCCAACTATGTGAATATACAACCTGGAAGAATATAATGGTACTAAAGTTATAAACCTGCCTTCTTGCCTTACATTAGATGATGTCATTGAGGAGCATAGAGCCACAGTTGCTGCTATGCTTTCTATAGTAATTAATGTTTTATAGAATGAGTTTGCTAGCCTCCTACTCAACCAGGGTTTTCAGCATCATTTGACTATAAACATAAGATGCAGTATGTATATATAACTATAGATTAACTATTTTAATGATGATAATCTATTTGATTTCTTCATATTTAATATCATTACACTTATTGTATGTTTTAAAAAAGTAAGTTGAGGAACTTATTAAAGGAAAAAAAATGCATAAACATTTTTGCAGTAGTACATCCCAGTGCATTTGGCATTAAATAATTACTTGTATTTTTTTCAAGCAACAAAGAAGAATATAAGATGCCTATCACAGAGGTGAAATGGTTAGCCAGCCAGTCTCACAAGCCATTGCTTGTGATTTTGATGTTCACTGAGTAACCCACCATTATGACTTTGATCAAATGAGCCAATTTCACATCATTTTTCATCTTATAGATATGCATAAATATAACAGATTTGAGTATATTTTGGAATATATATATATTTTGAACAATAAGAAAATAAAAAATAAAAAATTAAAATCTTTAGACACACTGGGTTGTAGATTAATATTCTTTTGTTTTTTTTATTATTATTCCATTTAGATTCCTCGACTAGTTTCGACCGAAATGGCCATCATCGGGAGGAGAAATATTTCTGCTTGCTGGTAGCAGTGAACTACAGAAATGAATGTCTTGATGGAGAAAATGAACTTTTGTCTGTAGTTTTCATTTGTTTTTTTATTTTTTTAATCTTTTTAACATGAATCTTGTGTTGGTCAAACAGTCTCTTTTAAGTTGTTATTTGAGATAAGAGCTGGATAGATACATATTATTCTGAATTCTCTGGTCAGTTTGACAGTTTTATTGGACCTGGTGAGGGGATGTGTCTCTGTTTAGTGATTGTGTGTGTGTTATTTGGTTCTTAGGGAGTGAGTGAGTATGATATGTGTAAGCGTGTGTATTGCTGTAGGTGTGTGTTATCATTTGGCTCATTAGGGAGTGAGTGCTATATATATATATAGCAAAGAAACCCTTGCTTCATCTTGTGCCAAAATGAAGGAAAGATTACTTCTCTGAAATGGTTTAAAATGAAATAGAAACTCATAAATCTTAAATGCTTATTCTCATTGCCAAAAAAGAGGAAATAACAGTGGACCTACCTTAATAGCAAAAGATAAAGCCATATCAATTTGAGGATTAATGGATTCAGGAAAATCCCACACCAATCTCTGAGGCATTTGCATTTTACTCTGTTGGAAATTTGTATCCTTGATGGCAAATCCTTGTTTTGTGTAAAGGGAATGTATCAACCTGAATAAAGGAAGTGTTCATAAAAATAGCTTTAAACCTTGCAAAAAGTTCTTTTGATGACATTAAGATTAATATACAAGGAAATGGTAAAAGTAAATGAATAATTATTTCACTAATTATTTTGACTAGTATCTTTGCCTTTCTTGTTTTTAATTTCAATATTTTAGTCAATGTACTTAGCCATTTTTATATGTATAATATATTTAATTGGGATTTGCTTGGATCCTTTATAAAATGGTTAAAGATCCTAATGAAAGACAAAATCAGTTACAAAATGAAAAAGCATCAGCTAAAATTAATGCTGTTAGCATTTGAACCTGAAGCTAAATTTTTGAGACTGACCACAATATGTACTGGGATCTCGGCATAAGTGATTTCTGAAGACAGAACCAATGAAAAATTCCCAACAAGATGATTTATACACTTGGCAAATGCTATTACAATTGGTTACTAAAAAGATAGTAGTCTGATAGTAGTTTTTGTTGTTTCTCCTCTCTTATTTTTAGGAAGTAGTTGGTTTCTCGTTTGTATTCTTTGCCACAACTGCACAGGATGTAATAAACATTAATACAAATTTACCATGGTCTGTCTATTGTACATAAATGACATATCTGAAAAGATCCATATGATTTGCACTGCATACAACATTAGGATGGCATTCAATCTTTTGGAAATATCCTTCTTCTAAATCAAGCCCTTCTACAAAGAAAACATAACCTAGAACTGTGTATATTCCATCCCATGCAGTTGTGACAAAGAATACAAGGGAGAAAACAACTACTCCTTAAAAGTAAGGGTGGAGAAACATCAAAAAGCAGTTACCTATAAATCAAGTACGGCTGGTCATATATGGAGTGAGATGTGTGGTAATCAACCATTGTGGAATGAAGTCAAGATAATAAACAGAGGATAAGAGGAAAAAATCAGTATATGCATTAGGCATTGACAATTTACTCAGTAAATCTAGCATAGAGATCAATAACATTTTGGGAACCTCTAATTAAGAAAGGGGGTTTAAGAAAAATTCCACCACCTGAGTCAAGACATTAGGTTTAAGGCTTCAGAATTACAAGTAGGTTGTGAATACAATAGAAGACACTTGAAGAAGAAGAAGACCTTAGAGTACGATAGATGAAACATTGTGAGTATATGTTGTGGCCTTGTTAGGGCCAGAAATAAAGACACAAAGAGAGGAGTTGAGTTAAACAAATATATTAACAGAAACAGTAATACAAACATATACAAACGAGAGTGTTACAGCATGAATGTTCGGTCCTACTGTCAGAGCTGACTGCTGGAAACTTCACACTCCAAAAGGCAGTACCTGCTCCTATTTATAGCTGGGAGAGTCCATGCGTGCGTGGGTAAATTACCATAACAGTATAACAACCAAGATGAGCATGTTGGTTCAAATAGTAAGGCATATATAATAATGGCATCAATGCTTATTGTTAAAAAAATAGAAAATGTTATGCACATCTTTTTTTGCAAAATAAAACTGTTGAAAATATTCTAAATTTTCTGTGAACAAAATCTATGAAATCTTTCAATAAAGGGAGATAATAAAGGCGAGTTAAATGATAGAGATTCTGATTCTTGGAGTGGTAAGCATCATTTCCTATTCTGAATCACAAACTTCTTAGCTTTTTTTCTCTTATCATTCATTTAAAAATTATTACTGAGAAAAGAAAATATGTTGTACTCACTCATTTGTCATGACAAATTCCTGACAATGTCCAATAGCAGGAGCATCAGCATAGGAATGTTCACAATTCAAACCCATTCGTCCATTGGCAAAATAGACAAGATTGAAGCTCTTATCAAACCAGATGCTTTTCCCATTTCCTTGTATCAAATACTGGGAGCGTTCCATCAATGTTTCTACAGAAACTGTTTCCAAAGTAACCTTGAAGACAAGAAAGAAGAGAGGATGACATGAAGATATTTAGCAAAAGATGGAGGTCAAGAAATAAAACTTTACTTTTGGAAATTTTATAGAAAAAGTATAAAATTGCCTGAGCTTATAGATATGATGAACCTTAGCAGAGCTAAAAGGGTCATATCTATAAGCTATTGCATAATTCGCAAGAGTATTTTTAATCTGATAGTTCATTACAACTTATCCTGGGTATGAGGATAAAAAAACAAATCAGAATGACAATCTAAAACTGTTTCCCAATTTCAAATTTTCAAAAATTATTCAATATTTGTTACAAAAGGAAATTTCTGAAGGGTATCTAAAGCAGTGGGAAGCTATCAAACTTTTCTACATTGCTTTCCCAATTTCCTATATGGCTGAATGTGGTCTCAACACAGTTACACAGCTTTTTACTAAACAAAGAAACCGTCTGCAAATTACAAAAGGAGATCTATGATTACTTCTAAGCAGCATAGAACCAAGAGTAAGAGCCTTTGTCAGTAAGCACCAAAATTGACTATCTCATTGAAAACATTGAGATAAGCTATCAATCAAGTAAAAGGATTTTTTTAGCATTTTAATCATTGGCATTTCTAATAAAAATGAAAACAATATTAAAATTATTTTTGTACTAATACCTAAGTATTATCTTGCTATGAAAGATGAATTCAGTGTAATATTTGAAATTTAATTTGACTTTGTTAGCAAAATGTTTGTGCCCAAAGGGGGCATTGGTTGTTAAAATGTTGGAAAACATTGATCTAAAAGAACAAATCTTCCAATGATGATGATCCTATCCAGTTCAGTGGAAAATATTTATCAAATCTGTGTGGGTAGTGAAAAAAATAACATGGTAGCATGAAAAGAATTCTTTATTCTGAAGTTGTCAAATGTCTTTTATTAGAAATGACATTTCTTTATTTAACTCTTTCTGTCCTTTGTTGAATTTGGAAAGTAAAAAATGATGTCATATTCAATTATATTGTGTATCTGCAGGAATTAAATTAAAAATCACTATTTATATATTTCTTCCTTATGTTCTTTATTATAACTTGACAGCATTGATAACCCTAAGCTTAACAGTGCAATTATCACAATTTTTTAAAAACTAGAATGCACCACTTTTTACATGTTTTTGCAATAATTTTCATAATAACATTATTTGTACTTTCCAAACCCTTCAATTTTGATTCTTAATTTTTTAAAAATCCTTTCTGGAAAAAAATTATTTCCAAGATCATTTGAAATAAAATGGTGTTAAAAAAAAAAAATTATTGGTCCAGTTATAAAACAAGGAGAGTTTTGAAACTGTTCACTGCAACTCCTGATAATCTCTTTGAGATTTACATTCCTGATCATAATATTAGTATATTAGATGTCATATATTTATATATTTTTTTTTATTATTTACTTTGAAAATGTATACCTTATAGGCAAGTTAAATAATAAATTCCTTTTCATGACTGTACAATTGTGAATGTTTACAACTTTAAATAAAGCTGTCTCTATTTCTGAGATGAGGTATTGTAACTATTTACACTATTTACATTGTTTGGACTGTTGTCCTCATCTTTATTGCCATATTCATTCAATATCTTTCTCTATTTCTGGAGATGAGGTATTGTAACTATTTACATTATTTACATTGTTTGGACTGTTGTCCTCATCTTTATTGCCATATTCACCTTCAATATCTTTCTCTATTTCTGAGATGAGGTATTGTAACTATTTACATTGTTTGGACTGTCGTCCTCATCTTTATTGCCATATTCACCTTCAATATCTTTCTCTATTTCTGAGATGAGGTATTGTAACTATTTACATTATTTACATTGTTTGGACTGTTGTCCTCATCTTTATTGCCATATTCATTCAATATCTTTCTCTATTTCTGGAGATGAGGTAAACTATTTACATTATTTACATTGTTTTGGACTGTTGTCCTCATCTTTTATTGCCATATTCACCTTCAATATCTTTCTCTATTTCTGAGATGAGGTATTGTAACTATTTACATTATTTACATTGTTTGGACTGTTGTCCTCATCTTTATTGCCATATTCACCTTCAATATCTTTCTCTATTTCTCAGATGAGGTATTGTAACTATTTACACTATTTACATTGTTTGGACTGTTGTCCTCATCTTCACTGCCATATTCACCTTCAATATCTTTCTCTATTTCTGAGATGAGGTATTGTAACTATTTACACTATTTACATTGTTTGGACTGTTGTCCTCATCTTTATTGCCATATTCACCTTCAATATCTTTCTCTATTTTTCAGATGAGGTATTGTAACTATTTACATTATTTACATTGTTTGGACTGTTGTCCTCATCTTTATTGCCATATTCACCTTCAATATCTTTCTCTATTTTTCAGATGAGGTATTGTAACTATTTACACTGTTGTCCTCATCTTCACTCTTCACCTTCAATATCATTTCTGAGATGAGGTATTGTAACTATTTACATTATTTGTTTGGACTGTTGTCCTCATCTTTATTGCCATATTCCCTTCAATATCTTTCTCTATTTTTCAGATGAGGTATTGTAACTATTTACATTATTTACATTGTTTGGACTGTTGTCCTCATCTTTAAATATTCACCTTCAATATCTTTCTCTTTCTCAGATGAGGTATTGTATTTTTCTATTTACAACTGTTGTCCTCATCTTCACTGCCATATTCACCTTCAATATCTTTCTCTTTTCTCAGATGAGGTATTGTAACTATTTACATTATTTACATTGTTTGGACTGTTGTCCTCATCTTCACTGCCATATTCACCTTCAATATCTTTCTCTATTTCTCAGATGAGGTATTGTAACTATTTACATTATTTTACATTGTTTGGACTGTTGTCCTCATCTTCACTATATTCACCTTCAATATCTTTCTCCTTTTCTGAGATGAGGTATTGTAACTAATTATTTACATTGTTTGGACTGTTGTCCTCATCTTTATTGCCATATTCAAATATCTTTCTCTATTTCTCAGATGAGGTATTGTAACTATTTACATTATTTACATTGTTTGGACTGTTGTCCTCATCTTCACTGCCATATTCACCTTCAATATCTTTCTCTATTTCTCAGATGAGGTATTGTAACTATTTACATTATTTACATTGTTTGGACTGTTGTCCTCATCTTCACTGCCATATTCACCTTCAATATCTTTCTCTATTTCTCAGATGAGGTATTGTAACTATTTACATTATTTACATTGTTTGGACTGTTGTCCTCATCTTCACTGCCATATTCACCTTCAATATCTTTCTCTATTTCTGAGATGAGGTATTGTAACTATTTACATTATTTACATTGTTTGGACTGTTGTCCTCATCTTCACTGCCATATTCACCTTCAATATCTTTCTCTATTTCTCAGATGAGGTATTGTAACTATTTACATTATTTACATTGTTTGGACTGTTGTCCTCATCTTCACTGCCATATTTTCAAATCTTTCTATTTCTGAGATGAGGTATTGTAACTATTTACATTATTTACATTGTTTGGACTGTTGTCCTCATCTTCACTGCCATATTCACCTTCAATATCTTTCTCTATTTCTCAGATGAGGTATTGTAACTATTTACATTATTTACATTGTTTGGACTGTCGTCCTCATCTTTATTGCCATATTCACCTTCAATATCTTTCTCTATTTCTCAGATGAGGTATTGTAACTATTTACATTATTTACATTGTTTGGACTGTTGTCCTCATCTTCACTGCCATATTCACCTTCAATATCTTTCTCTATTTCTGAGATGAGGTATTGTAACTATTTACATTATTTACATTGTTTGGACTGTTGTCCTCATCTTCAAATATTCACCTTCAATATCTTTCTCTATTTCATTTATTGTAACTATTTAATTTACATTGTTTGGACTGTTGTCCTCATCTTCACTGCCATATTCACCTTCAATATCTTTCTCTATTTCTGAGATGAATTGTAACTTTTACATTATTTACATTGTTTGTGTTGTCCTCATCTTTATTGCCATATTCACCTTCAATATCTTTCTCTATTTCTCAGATGAGGTATTGTAACTATTTACATTATTTAAACTGTTGTCCTCATCTTCACTGCCATATTCACCTTCAATATCTTTCTCTTCTGAGATGAGGTATTGTAACTATTTACATTATTTACATTGTTTGGACTGTTGTCCTCATCTTCACTTATTCACCTTCAATGTCTTTCTCTATTTCTCAGAGATTTTTACATTATTTACATTGTTTGGACTGTTGTCCTCATCTTCACTGCCATATTCACCTTCAATATCTTTCTCTATTTCTGAGATGAGGTTAGAACTATTTACATTATTTACATTGTTTGGACTGTTTTTCCTCATCTTCACTATATATTCACCTTCAATATCTTTCTATTTCTCAGATGAATTGTAACTATTTACATTATTTTACATTGTTTGGACTGTTGTCCTCATCTTCACTGCCATATTCACCTTCAATATCTTTCTCTATTTCTGAGATGAGGTATTGTAACTATTTATTATTTTTACTGTTGTCCTCATCTTCACTGCCATATTCACCTTCAATATCTTTCTCTATTTCTCAGATGAGGTATTGTAACTATTTACATTATTTACATTGTTTGGACTGTCGTCCTCATCTTTATTGCCATATTCACCTTCAATATCTTTCTCTATTTCTCAGATGAGGTATTGTAACTATTTACACTATTTACATTGTTTGGACTGTTGTCCTCATCTTCACTGCCATATTCACCTTCAATATCTTTCTCTATTTCTGAGATGAGGTATTGTAACTATTTACATTATTTACATTGTTTGGACTGTTGTCCTCATCTTTATTGCCATATTCACCTTCAATATCTTTCTCTATTTTTCATGATCTTCTATTTACATTATTTACATTGTTTGGACTGTTGTCCTCATCTTTATTGCCATATTCACCTTCAATATCTTTCTCTATTTTTCAGATGAGATTG